CGTGTCCGGTTTCGTGTCGTGTTAACGGGTCGTGTCGATAATTGCCAGGTCTAACCAAAAGTGTCCAAAATATGATAGTCTGGTTGTTAATGACAAAAACGATTATCTGGGAGTAAATATGGAATTGCCACCAAATTAAAGACAATGAACCTCCGCTTGAATTAATTCATTGGACAAATAATTTTTAAAAATTGAAAAGTTGAAAATACCCTTTCCTAAAATAGGATTTCACCGAAAAATTTATTGAAAGGATCAAACGTGTCCAAAATATATGAGAATCATAGCCAAAAATGTGTTGTTTTGACATGATTTGGATAAAAATATTCTGATTCAAAACCTAGACTAAAATACGTAAAGTACTAATACCTTTTCATTCTTTTCAAAACCCTATTTGAAAAGAAGGTAATGGCACTACCTTCTTCTATATATTTGTCTTTGCTTTGGCCGAAAAATGCCACAAAAGAAGGCAATTGCATTGCCTTCTTTTCACTTTGACAAAAACGATTGTTTAAGATTAAATTTAAAATTGTCACCAAAGACAATGGACAACGGCTAGAATTAACTCTAAAAGATAATTTAATGGTTGAACGGTATGTATGTTTAGGCAAATTTTACCATGGAACATGATGCATGTAGCAGTGTGGTCCATAAAGTAAGTATCATTTTAATTACACTTCAGTTTCATTTGACAATATTACTTTGTTTTTCAGTTTCATTTTTCAAACACACTAGCTAGTTTCATTATAGCAATACTAAAGTATCATTTTAATTCTACTATAGTTTCATTTGACAATATACATTATTGCATAAGCTCTATTTTGTAGTTTCATTTTTCAAACACACTAGTTTAATTACAATAATATTCAAGTGCCCGCATGAGTAGCTTAACTGGTCATATAGGTGAATGTTTGAAAGAATGACCAGAGATTGAATCTCCCAAGCAGCAGTGTGGGAGTAAACTCTCAGCAAATGTCTAGCCTATAGCCTTTACATCCTCCTAAATACTCAGTGATGACTTGAAAGGAAATATACCGTCTTACACATTTTTACAAATAAACCGCTATACACTCCAAACACATATACTAATTTACACGATCAGTACTATTTTAATTGAGTTAACTCCATCTTTTGTACCAAGTGGCTTGTGGTCCACTGGTACCCGGGTGCTCCCCTAAGTGGGAGGTGAAAGATTGAGGCAAGTAGTGTGTATATAGGGTGTCCCCCTTCCTTATAATAATAATAATAATAATAATAATAATAATAATAATAAAAAACTCCATCTTTTATTCTAAATTTATAGATGACAATTTACTTTACGTTCATTTTTATTAAAACATCCACCTTTGGTTTTGGTATTATTGGGGCATAACCATTTTTTGTTCATTATCAACAAAACAATTTAAATATCGTTAACTAAAATGATATTTCGGTCTTCGATTATGTATGTTTTGAAAAAAAAAAAAAAAAAAAACATAAAATATATAACAGTTCAACTTACTTTGCATAAAAAAGATTGAATTGAAATATCTTTGTATTTAACAATATTTCAACGATTTTGTTATGGGGACTAAAAATGATCATGTCACAATAATATTAGGACCAAATAAGGATGTTCTAATAAAAAAATGACTAAAAGTGTACTGTCACCTATAAATCTAGGATAAAAATGAAATTAACTCTATTATAATTACACTATAGGTTCATTTAACAATATATGTTACTCTATGACTTTGAATTTTAGTTTCATTTTCCATAGACACTAGATTCATTATAACAACACTAAAGTATCATTTTAATTATACTGCAGTTTCATTTGGCAATATACGTTGTTGAATGAGCTTTGTATTTTAGTTTCATTATAACAACACTGGAGTATCATTTTAATTCTACTACAATTTCATTTCACGATCATGATCCATCTAGTACTGTGGACCATAGTCCACGGTATAACAACTGGTAGTATGTTTAGCATTGATGTATAAATTGGGGTTGGATTCAAAAAGTGATTGGATCCGTAAAGTGAGTGGATCCATATAGTGATTGAAGCCCATAGATAGGAGAGTGGGGCATGTTATACCGCGGAATAGGATCTACCTTGCATTGTGGACCCTAGTTCAAAATAATCGTTAGATTCTGTACTTGCAGTTGACACATGCATTTTGTACTTGTAGTTAATCATTTATGTATTTGTAAATAAATTGAAGACACACCACATAGTAATTACATATACATAATATAATAACTATAGACACATAAAATGTTAACTGTATAGGATGGGGGAAAGCTTAGTGGGTTAGAATGCAAAGGCTTAGAGAATAGTGTAAAAAGTGTGAAGAGAGGAAAATTTTAGACGTTTGGAGTGAAAACCCCGGAGGGGTGGAAAAAATGGTGAAGATAGAGAAAATTTAAGAGGTTAAAGTGCAAAGGTAGAGGGAATGGGATAAAAAGGAGTTTTTTTGCTATTTTAGTCTCACGGCTATAGTGACACTATTAGAATTTATTCATGATTTTCAAATCTTGTAATATTAGTTCACGACTATTGTTTTAGTTGCAAAAATAGTCTTTCCGGTCTGTTTTTTGTTAATTTTTCACCGAGAAAAAAATTCTCATTTCAAGCAGGAATAAAATAGACATTTACATTGCCTTGCAATCTCGGACCGTTGTTGACCTCTTATTCTGACTAAAGTGTGAAAGAATCAAACAAAAATATAAAACTCAATTGTCAGATACGAACTCTAATATACTCTCATCTCATCAACTCATCTGATCAACCCATCTGCGAACTCTATTGAGTTTTTTGCATTGGAGAATCAAACCATAAAATCCAATCGTATTCCAATAGGGTTTGCATATGGGTTGATCAGATAGGTTGACAAGATGAGAGCATATTAGAGTTCGTCTCTAGCAATTGGAACTTTTTGTTTGATTTTTTCACACTTTTGTTAGAATAAGAGGTCAACAGCAGTTCGAGATTGCAAGGACAATATAAATGTCTATTATATCCCTGCTTGAAATTGAGAATTTTTTTTTCCAGTGAAAAATTGACTTAAAATTGGTCAGAAGGATCATTTTTGCAACAAATACAATAGTCGTGGACCGGGATATTGCAAGGTTTGAAAGTTGCTGATCAATCCTGATAGTGTCATTATAGTCGTGGGACCAAAAGTACAAAAAACTTGGATAAAAAGTGTTATAGAAGGGGAAAGTTTGAGAGATCTAGATAGAAGTGCGAAAATAGAGAAATATCAGTTTTAGTCCTTCGACTATAATCATGTATCAATTTTAGTCCTTAACTATTAAAATTTTCAAATTAAGTGCATGATTATTCAATTTGTATCACATTTGGTCCTTGACTATTAACACTTTCAAATTAGGTGCATGACTATTAAATTTGTAGCACATTTGGTCTTACCACTAAATTTTCCGGTCAAATCACCGTACCTGACTAGTTTATTTAATTTTTTTAAAAATTATTTTAATAATTTTTAAATTAATAACCTTAAAAAAAAAAATAACAACCACCCAACCTCCTCCTCCTTTGTTTCCACCGAAGAGAAGTAAGAAAGGAGGGATCCCTTCCTCCTTCGTCTCTGTCGCTTTTGTTGGAGACGAAGGAAGAGAGGTGGGGTGGGGGGGTGGAAGAGAATGCCGCCCACCCCCCTCCTTCGAGGCGGAGACGAAGGAGGAGGGGGGGGGGGTGGCCGGTTTTTTTAATTTTATTTTTAATTTTTTAGTTTTTTTTTTTTAATTTAAAAATTATTAAAATAATTTTTTAAAATAAAAATTAAATAAATTAATCGGTCACCGATGACTTGACTCGAAAATTTAATGGCAGGACGGAATGTGATACAAATTGAATAGTCATGCACTTAATTTGAAAATGTTAATAGTTAAGGACCAAATATAATACAAATTGAATAGTCATGCACCTAATTTGAAAATTGTAATAGTTAGGGACTACTTAAATTGATACATGTATTATAGTAAGGGACTAAAAATGATATTTTCTCCGAAAAATACAAGGGGTGAAGGTGCAAAGGACTCGGACAAGACTCGATTGGAGTAGGTGGCAAGGCTACACACCCTACATTCCATATGGGCATGCCAATGCAACAACGAGGCGAGCACCCTATGCATTGTTCAAGGATGTATTTTACAAGAGATAAATTACCTAAATTTCAACCAACAATATAATGCATATGCATCAAATTTGAGTATTTATTACAAGACTGAAAGGGCCCTTCTTATTCGATCTTGATTACCTAGTACTCTGTGGTGACCATGCATGAACATGCTTAAAATCAGTATAATAATGCTAATAGCTAATACTAGATCTTTGAGATGATATTCCCCTACAAAGAGAATAATTCATTCAATAGATGTTATTCCATTACTTATATATTCTTTAACAAGAGACATTAAAAATGTATAAATTTTTAATTTGACCAAATTTTACTATTAATGAGATGATATCTTCAATAGTACAGTTGTAATAAATGACTTATGATAAAAGATTTGATTGTACAAATTTAATTGGTAACATATGATGTTAATCATTTTAAGTATTTTTTCACTGTATAACAGGAAAAAGGAAAATAAGAAAATGATAGAGATATTTGATCAAAATCAATAGAAAAGAAACAAATAGATTGTTAGTCTCAACCCATTGGGTCCATTTCAGATCTTGACAGACAAAAGTCAGCTTAAACCTCCCAAGAAGGGGGAAAAGAGAAGAGGAAAAGCATAAACAATCCACCTTGAATTCCTATATAAGTCAAAAAAAAACCCACAAAGTAGGGTAAAAAATTCCACAAAATAGGGTAAAAAAATGGGGAAATTTACAAGGCAATATTCACATTTGAAAAGTAGATGATGATGACTAACCCCCAAGGCTGCTTTTCTTCACTGTCACTAATCCTATCTCTTTTCTTATTTGTCAAATGGATGATCATTGTGTGAAGAATTTTAACATTCCACACCTTATAGCATCATGCCATCCATTTGGTCCAAAAAAAAAAAAAAAAAAAAAAAAAAAAAAAAGGAAAAAAAGAAATCAAGGGTTAGTGATTTTGTGCATTTTCTTCTCCCCTCTTTAACTTTTCCAAGATCCTTTTCTTGAATGAGAAAACTTCTTGATATTCATATAGTGAACTCGATCTCCTTTGATCTTCTCTATCTCCGTGCACAAATCTTGTGAGAGGACACCAATGGGCTTTGTTCCTGATGTACTAAAAAAATATAATGAATTTTTTTTTTTCATGCCTCGAAGGTATCTTGAATGACAATGGTGACCAGCGGCTACAAATTCAACCAAAGAATTTTTTGACACATTCTTTATTTTCTTTTCTGATGGGAAGAAATTAAAATCGTCAGACATTTTTTTTTTTTTTAAGATCAAAATTGTGATTTTCTCCGAAGACTAAAGGGCTACCCAACACCTTTCAATGTCCTCTGCAATCTTCCTGGCGTCCATGGAAGCACCCAACAATCCACGTCTGGTAAACCCCGCAGCATATAGCCCACACTCCCCCTTCCATCCATTGGGAAAGGGCTTCTTTGGTAGCCCATCTTTCTCCGAAAACGTGTCATTATCCTATTGATTATAGTACAATTCGATGAAACTAAGGATCAAACATGATGATCAAGAATGAAAAACTTTAGTTTGTACTAATGATCTTGTCAATTATTACCTTTAGCCATGACGACACATTGCTTTTGTAACCTGTTGCAAGGATTATTGCCTCAAAGTCTTCCTCTTTTCCATTCTCAAATTCCACCGTGTAACGCTTCACTCTCTTAATGCCCGGACATACCTACAATTAGTATGATCAATTTAGCTTAAACTTCTCCCAAAAGATTGAATCCCTAGTCGTAAGGGCCCCACACCCTGATTGGACCATACATTTGGAAGGATGTAAATCACTGTAACTTAATGATTCAAATGCTAATGACACAAGGAATTTGTCCACTTTAGACATATCTATCCACTTTGGTCATAATCCTACACTGCCAGTGATACATCTCACCATTTCAATAATGATATAGAAAGACAATTATGATCAAAAGTATTATATTATCAGCACAAACTTATACCACTCGACTAGCTAAGACAAAAATGGTAAGAGTTATTAGGTAAGTGAAGTAATAATAAAGGAATTGATGAGTGTTTGTACCTTGATTTCTCCAGTTCTGATTTTGGAAAGGGTTCCCATGTCTAGGACTGGGGTCTTGCCGGAGAAGTGCTTGAGCTCCAGTGGGCCCGCCTTGGGGCGGCAGAGACCTAACTGCGCCGTGTCGCCGAGGAGGAGGCGGGAGACGGTCAAGAGAAAGCGGTCCACCACGCCCATTGGGAACCACTTGAGCAGAAACATGGCCAGCCCAAAAGTTGATTTTCCCAGCACCTCTTGTGGCAAGACATGCACCTAATTTAAATATAACGATTAAGTTTCATTAAATTGAATATAACAATTGGTTTCTGGGTGACAGATTATCGGTTCAGTTCTTACTTTGCTTCTGACGACCAGAGAAGGGATGGCATTATGGTTACAGAGATCCAAACAAACCTCCATTCCCGAATTCCCACATCCGATCACCAACACCTTCTTCCCGGCGAACGCCTCGCCCCTCTTATATGAGCTCGTGTGGATAATCGGGCCGTGGAACTCCTCGGCTCCCTCGATCCTGGGCTCCACCGCCTCGGCATTCTCCCCGGTGGCCGCGATCAGCCACCGGCAAACATACTCCACCTCCTCCTCCTCCTCGGTCGCCTTCGTCCTCAACCGCCACAGCCCGAGGCCGCCATCGTACTCTGCCGAGACCACCGCCCGGTTAAACACCGGCCGGATATCGAACTTCTCGGCGTAGTCCTCCAAGTATTGAATGAAAAGCTGCTTGGATGGGTAGGTGGGGAAGGTATCGGGGAACGGCATCATTGGCAGCTCGCAGAATTGTTTAGGGAGGTGGAGACGGAGGCGATCGTAGGATTTCAGCTGCCACAGCGACGCCAAACATTCCGATCTCTCAAACACCACCGACGGCACCCCTTTCTCCTTCAAACACGCCGCCACCGCCAGCCCCGACGGCCCAGCGCCGACAATGATCGGCCCCGGAACGCAAACGCACGTCCTCTTCTTATCATGCCCAAAACCACGTGGATCATGAGCTCTTTTACTCTCAATTTCCCTCAAATAGTCCATGAAACTGTCTCTCTCTCTCTCTCTCTTTATATATATCCAAAAACGGATAAGATAAGTATATATGTTTTTGGAAAAAAATCGGTTAAGTTAACTAACAAAAGATGGCGAAACTGTTATGAGGAATGGAATGAGATGAGTGCATGTTGAAAGGGTGGATGTGGATGGGGATAGACTATATAGCAGTAGTTAGCTTCAGATTTAAGAGAGATTTAAGGTAAAAGAGAGGGATTTTAGGGATAAGTGTGAAATGCTATCCACAATATTATCCAAAATGTAAAGTTGAACGGGGAAGAAGAGTAGTTTGGATGTTGGTTAGTTCAAATGGATCAGATCAGAGAATACCGAAGTTTGAGCTACCAAAGCTGCTGGCTGGCACCACGGACTGCGCTCCTCCATGAATGCTTTCAAGGGTTGAGGAGAGAGAGAGAGGGGGGGATCGGAGGGGGTAGATTATATACATGTGTAGTGTATATATACATATATAGATCGAGAGAGATACATATTATGCATCTAATATATCTTTAATTTGTGTATCTTATATTTTGTTTTGGTATATTAAATTGAAATATATGTGTTCCATCTCAACTAAGGTGATACAACTTTATAAAGCACGGTACTATTCCAATTGCTCTTTTCTTGAAGCATCATTGGGTGCAAAGATAGTTTCTGTTGGAGGAGTATTAGAGTTACAGAAGGACTTTTGGGTAATTGTTGCAGTATATACGAATTGGGAATAATACTTGTACTTCTATTTGGAATTAACCATGGCTTTAAGACACAATGAATCCTTTTGTCACAACACTAATATCTGAGCATCATAGTATGGCTACTGTAAGTTCTCTTATTGACCCATAAACACAGGATTGGGATGTTCCCTTACTTGAAGATATGTTTAATGCTAGAGATGCAAATCTTATTAAAAACATTCCGATTTCCATTGGTTATGAAGATCAGTGGCAATGGAAACTGGATTTGAGGGGAGATTATTCTGTGAGGTCGAACTATCGGCTTTTAATGGAGGAAATAACTGTGGCTACTAATGATTTCAGAGCTTGGAAAAATTTGTGGAGATTGAAGATCTCTCCAAAATACAAAAACTTTATTTGGAGGTGTGGGAGGTTAATTTTACCACCTAAAATGACTTTAAGAAGCAAAGGAGTAGACATTCTAACTTTTTGCCCGATTTGCCGTGCAACTGACGAACATGCAGCCCATTTGTTACATGATTGTATACATGTCAAGCCATTATGGGATTATCTTAATCCTTCTCTACCCATGCATGCAAATTTGGATTTCTCTAATTGGTTGAATGCGTTGATTTCACACTCAGACAGTATTGTATGTGTTTGTGTAGTTGCGTTGGTATGGGAATGATATGGTGTGGAATGGAAAAAGGTTGGAACACATCTGTAGTTATAGCCATGGTCTCTCTTATTGTGGAATGGAGTTCGTTGCATGTTACCTCTCCAGCCACTCTGCATGTCGACGTGCAACATCCTCGGGAGGATTTTCATGATCATGTATTTTGTCAGGATGATGTTGCGATTTTCGATCAATACTCCTTCTTATGCAACCTTTGGTATGGCCATCACAAATTTTAACATATGGTGCTTTCTTGGCAATGAAATCAGGCGTTTCATGAAGTCCAAACAATCCATATATGGCTTAAGAGTTTGCGGTTGAGGAGGCTCTGAACTTTTTGCTCGAAAGAGGTTGGTGTCGTGCACTCATCAAATTCGACTGCCAGATGGTTTGTAATTCTTTGAATAACTATTCTCTTGATCGTTCTTATGTTGGATTCATCTTGATCGTTCTTATGTTGGATGCATTCTGAGAAGGTGTTGTTCACTCATGGCCGGGACAATTTCAATCAGTGTCGATTACCTACGTTCCTAGCTAGATTAGAGAATGTTATAGATCATACACTAGCTTGCTAGATATGTGGATTTACATTCTGATCATCACATGTGGTTATCTTCAATTCCAAGATGTATTTCACACTTGTTTTCAATTGGATTGTTATATTTTTACTTGTTACCTTGAAAAAAAATTGAGTCTAAACTAATAGTTGGATTGCAGCGAGCTGGTTGTTTTTAACCGGCTTCAACACGTGGAACCTTGGTTGAATACTAAATTAAAACATGTGCTCCATACCAACTAAAAGTCTAAAGTGTGATAGTTGGATTGCACATTGGTAAGTTACAATGGGATCTTCACATATTTGACACTCTTCTCTGTGGCATTCGTCCCGTTTTACTTTATTTCTTTATACATCTTTCTTATTGATGGAATTAATTAAACCGAGAGTCCAGATTAATTAACACGCATAAATGTAACAAGTATATAATTGAACGATAATAAGGGTACAAATATAGTCACGGGGACTATATTGTATTAATTGTGTATAAAGTGCTATTACAGAGGTGTAATGCTATCACAAGTAGTAGTTTAGGACAAAAGGTAGAACATGCCCTTAACAAGACAATTACTATGCTAGGAAATTCCAACCAATTACAGCTAAATTCGTGGAGGGCCACGGGACTAAATTCAAGCCCATGTGGTGGGCCGTGAGACTAAGTCAAGGCCCATCATTCTGGGCCCAGAGGTAAGCTCCGGGCTTGAGACTCTTCTTGGGCTGCTCGGGTTATACATTCCCGGACCCTGGTCTCTATTATTATTGGGCCATTTCCAATGTATCCATCACTTATATATACTTGTGTAACCATTATGTTTTAGTGATAAGATCTCCAACACCAACCAGTCTCAAGTGTACAACATACATACTTTCAACATACATCACCATTCAATGACTGAATGCTAAACTTGACTTTCAATGTGATTTGAACGTGCTTTGATACGAATTTTCAAATCAAGTTTACCCACTATACCAAGGTAGAAGTTTTATTGTTGGACACAACAACACAACTTAAAATAAAAGTTTCGGCGTTGACATAAAAGGTCAAGTCTAACATCATGCTATCGAAATGCTATCGAAATGTGACTGTTGAAAGCTTAGACAAGTATAAATAGCTAAACATGTCAGTACAATTGATGTTGACAGGTGTTGGGATGAGCTCACGAAATAATAAGTTTTTAGTGCAGTAGTAAGCCCATGATGCTTGTAACAATGGTAGAAAATTTTCTTGTGACAGGCTAAGATCTATCTCTCAACTTGACGGCGTAGGTAACGGCCTCCGGTTGGCTTCTCCACCGGCAACTGCAAATTCTAGCGAGAAAAATCTAGTGTGCGTCGGCCAACAATATTCTGGCCGCCGCCGCCGGCCAACAAGAACCAATCACAATAAGGCAAGAGACAAAACACAAAGAAACAAAGCAAAATAAGCTAGAAAACAGAAACCAAAACTCTTAACTGTACTCTTAAGAGAACAAGAAGACAACAATATAATCCATAATCCCAAACCTTAATTTCCTCAATAAGCCCCATTCAACGAGACTCATGTCGATCGAATCCCTTCAACGTTGAGAAGGAAAAAAGCTCCAAAATTGGAGAATGGAAAAGAAAAGAAAAAAAAATGAAGGGAGTGCTCCAGATAGAGATTATATCTCAAGAACATCCTTTCTCTGATCTACATGCATTGAATGAAAGTGAAAGTGAAAGACTGAAAGTGATAAAGTCCATATTAATTAGGTTATCCCTAAATATGACGTTGTCGGTGGACGGTGGTTACATTGATCTATTAATTAATACTAGTTTAATAGGGAGCACAGTCTAATTTTGAATAATAGTGCCTTGTGTTAAAATAAAAACAGAAGGAAGAGAAAAGAGAGATAAGGGAGAATCTCTTATTTATCTATCTCATTATATTCTTATACATCATATATATAATCTATACAAATTGATTATTACAACAGTTACAAATCAAGTAATCAATATCATAATAATGTCCATAAATAAGGATTTATAACACTCCCCCTTGGACATTATAACACCAAATCTTGCCTCATTAAAAACTTGCTAGGAAAACCCTGTGGGAAAAACCTAAACAAGAAAATAGTACAAGGTATATGGATAAGCATACATTCATGCCTCATTAAAAACTTCACTAGGAAAATCACGTGGGAAAAAACCTAGTTGAAGAAAAGAGTACATGATATATGTAAAAACATATATTGTATTGGTCGTCTCATTAAAAACCTTAACTTAAGAAAACCCGGTGGGAAAAACTTACCCTTTTTTGAAATTTTGAAATTCAGAAAAAAAAAAAAAAGAATATAAGTTAAGGGAAAAAGAGTACAACCATAAGCCTTCAGGGCGCAAACTGCATAATCTTCAGGATTTTGGGGTTTGTCCATTTAAGCAATTATTTTGCAACTTTTCCCCATTATCATTACTATATCATACTCATGCCTCGTTAAAAATCACACTAGAAAACCCAATGGGAGAAAACTAGTGAGGAAAAGAGTACATGATATTTATGTATTTATGTGTTGCAAATAGTGCGCAACTGTTAGTCTTTTATGACTTAATCTTCAGAATTTTACGTTCAATCTTCCGGATTGATTCAAGTAAATGTATTTCCCGTTGTGTTGCAAATAGTGCGCAACTGTTAGTCTTTTATGACTTAATCTTCAGAACTTTACGCTCAATCTTTCGGATTGATTCAAGTAAATGTACTTCCCGTTGTGTTGCAAATAGTGCGCAACTGTTAATCTTTTATGACTTAATCTTCAGGATTTTACGTTCAATCTTCCGGATTGATTCGAGTAAATGTACTTCCTGTCTCCCCCTGAAGATAACAATCTTCAAGTTCTACATATATTTCAAAATTTGAAGAGATGGATTTGACAAATCTTCTAGATTGTCACTAGAGTAGTGAACAATAATCTTATGGCTCTTTTAGAGCTCATATAACATTTGTGCAACACAAGTTTTATTGTCCTCATTTTGAACATTTAGGGAAATTCATTGTATAACCAGTTTGGACTTGGCATTGCGGGGATCAAACAAAACAGCCAGTACCCAAGTAGCCTATTAAAACCGTATCATGGTTTCTTACATAAATGTCATGTCTTTGTATCTCGAAGATACCGGAGGATATGTTAATCATTATTCAAGTACTTCATTTGTAGGGGGAGCACTAGATTTTGCTAGCAATTTCATCGCAAATATGTTGCGATTATGGAATTTCTGGTTCTATAATGGTGCTCCAACGATAATGAAGTAAGGGACTTCGAG